GGTTTATTTGTACCTAATGCAGTTTGACACAATTGAGCTAGATGTTTGCCGATGAGATCCTAAAACAATGTTTATCGAGCATGTGTGATCATTAGACATTTCCCTGATCTTAAATATTTTCGTTTTTCCTATGCGTGAAGATCTAAATATNAACATTTTCGTTTCTCCCAAGCGTGAAAATCTAAATATCCATTTGCAAGCATTATGCAAACACTTTACCACATACTCCTTTTTGTCCAAGCTTAACACTTTATATTCAAACTAGTTTTGTATAGCATAGAAGGCCAAGCTCATTTTTAGTATGTTCTTGTTGCAAAATAACATCTTTTTGTCCGAACTTAACACTTTATATTCAAACTTGTTTTGTATAGTATAGAAGGCCAAGCTCATTTTTAGTATGTTCTTGTTGCGAAAAAACATTTCCCTCCACTACTGCTCTAGCATCTGCTTCGGATACTAATGTCACATCTTTGATGTTTTCTTTGTCAACGGTCACCACTGAGTCACAAATTTCTTGAGCTATTTGTTCTAAAGAAAATACAGTAGCTGATGACTCGACGAATCTGGGCATTGCAATGTATATCTTGACTGCCATGAAACTATAGTGATAACATCAACCATAATAGGGTAACTCGATACAACCCCATCCAAAGATTTTAACCTCAAATACGTTAGGACATTATTATTGCTCAAAATCCGGACTTAAGGTAAATTAGAATCCAAAGAATATGTCATTTTCACATCTAAGTTTGCACCATTAAGCCCAAATTTTGAAAGAACAAGCTCGACCAATTCATCATACTTGCATGTATCATTCACTAGTATAAGTGACGTGCACAGAAAATCCAATTCCTCTACAGCCGAACTTCAATTTCTCTTGAAAAATGAAAATCAGAAGCATGTTTATAGAATTGTGACCTCATTCATGATCGTGGCTTAAAATTGAGGATTAATGGTGATTATACGTTTATCTTCGAATCAGACCACGGGAGTTCAGTTTTTGCTTTGGGAAAATTCGATTAGGCCACAGCCAGCTTCAACTTCTCCAAAACAGTAAAAATCAGAAGTATTTCGACGGGATTGTAACCTTATTTATTGATTGTGGCTCGAAATCGAGGATAAATGGTGAATTTGTATGATTTTGGAGACGTTCGGCGAGATGGGTTTGTAGAGAGAAAAAGTGTCATTTGGTTGTGAGAGGAATATGAGAAAATCTTTTAAATATAGTATAGTAAGATTTGTAGGAGTTAATTTGATATAGTATATTTAATCCAAACTTAGTGTATATTATATTATAATTATATATTTAATATTATGATTTAGCACCTGATTTATGAAAAAAGTTAGGAAGTGTGTCAATTTTGAAATGTGTTTTAATAATGTAGTAATTATGTAGTGTTCCCATATTCTTTTCAATCCTTAGAATATTCTCCAGAATCAAATTAGTGAATTACTGTTTCTCAGTGATCAATATGTATATGAGAAATTATAAAAAATCAGATGTATAAATATTACTTTTTAAAAATCAGGTCAACAGTTTATTTATTCAAAAATCGGGTATTATATTAAAACCTAATTGATAACCCTAATTTATTGCTCCCCTTCCACCATACCACCTACTCCACCAAATTTTAATCTCATTTCCCAAATCCTAGTCATTTTTCTTTTGTTGCCAGTGTCGCAACAGCGCGACGCTGCTCGCCCATCGCAGCAACATCGCTGCTTTTAACAGCTGCGAGTCAGCAGCGCTGCTGAGTCGCAGCAGCGTCGTTGGTGGATGTGGCAACTTGGAAATCACAGTTGGGTGGACGACGAAATTACAGTGAAATGGGTGTGTGGCTCGGCGGTGGTTTGTGCGGATCGATGTTGAGGGAATCGGAGAGGCGGCATATCTGTGGGTGCGGGGTGGATCTGTGTGTGGCTGTTGTTCGTGGTTGGTTGTTGTTGTTTGTTGTTGTTGGTGGCGGATCTGTGTGTTGCCGGATGTGTGTGGTTTTCTCGGTGGTGGTGATTTTTGTGTTATTATTGGTTGTGATTTTGGTTGTGATTTTGCGGTGGTTTTCTCGGCGGGGAATCTGATGGGATTTGAGGTGTTTTGTGTGGTGGCATCTGTGGTAGTGGATCGGACGTTGGGGTGGTGGCCGTGCTTTGTTTGGTGGCTATGGGTGGTGGCGGTGTTTGTGTGGTAGTGGTGGCTGAAGTAGTGCCGTAGTATGTGACTAAGTATTTGGTTATCTGTGACCAAGTATTTAACTGTGACCTAAAAATTTGACAATGTGATTGAAAAATAATTTGTGACCAACAAATTTGAAAATATGTGACCAATGAAATTAACCATTTTTTTATCTATGACCGTAAAAAAATATGTGACCAATTAATTTGGAAATCTGTGACTATGTGACCTATAAATTTTGATACGTGACCAACTAATTTTGAAATCTGTGACCAACGAATTAATTGTGACCTATAAAATTTTTGAACTATGACCGTAAATTGTAAATCTGTGATCAGAATGGTCACCGGAATAATCGTCGGAATCGGAGCAGTCGCCGAAACGGTCGTCAGAGAAGTGTGGTGGTCGGAATGGTGGTCGAAATAGTCCCCGGAGCGGTATCGGTGGTGCATGTGGGATAGATTAATTATATTATATTAGAATTAAATATTTAATAATAAATTAATTTAATAATTTATTATTTCATAAAATAAAATAAAAAACCCGATTTTTAAATTTTCAAATTATAAACCTGATTTTTGAATTGTTATAAAGCACACACCTTATTTATAAATTTTTCCCTATATATATTGGGGATGGTCAATGAGCCATTTTCAAAGCCTATATTGCCCAAATGTGGTTGATAGTGCACGTTTTTATTCAAAGTCAAATCAATTCCTCTGAAATTATTCCCATAAGCCACAAGGAAAAGACAGACAAAACTCTTATCAAGCATGTAAAATGGAATTTCATTTAACATCTCCAACCAAAATTCATTTGAAATATAAATTGCTCGTAAACCTTTTTAAAGGTAATAACAACGTTTAGTATGTTGAATAAGATAATATAGAACCCAATAAAATAATTTTGCATGTAAATTCAAAATTTTTTCCTTATTAACAACACACTATCTAAAAAGTTACTTTTTACAAAATATATTCTAAAGAAATAGTTCGAATAGGCGTTAATAAATGTTGACGTGATGTGTCAAATACATGCCAATAGGGACAATAGATGTACAATTTACATTTATAAGTCAAAATATGCCTTATTCCTTTGATTCTTCTTTGTAGAATGGATCACTTCTTGAAAAATAATGAAATTCTCTAAAAAAGATAATACTGAATTATTGTTCAGAGATAACAACGAGAGAAAGTGTAGCATTTGAAGCCCACGTGACGGGCAATAAAAATAGATAGTATATTTTGAAATTTTACAAATGTTTAATACGCTGAATTGTTATTGTAAAAAGTAATGTGTAAAAAAAAGTACAATTTATTTTATAAAGTAAAAATGTGAAAGCCCATGTAACTAAAAAATGGTTTATAACGGGTATTTGATTTTTCTTTGAAAGGAAACTCCATGGATAGTACAATACACAAAGTTTAACTTCTTTTTCTCTTTCAATATTATTTAATATAATTTAATTTATTTTTCATTGTTTTAAAAAGAATATCATTCGGGTTTGAGATAATTAATTTTGAAATCTCAAAAATTGAATTTTTGACTTTCTTTTGTCAAAGAGAAGCCACAAGAATTTCTCTCACCATATATATAATTATTACTTACAAAAAGTAAAAACCAAATAATTAATTAATTAACATGCGTGCTTTAAGTGGACGGCCAACGCACCTTGACTTCTCAAACTAATTAATAAATATTAAAAGAATGAACCGCACTATTCGGGGGGTGTACAACCCCCC